GGTCCAAATTCCCTGGGTGGTAAAGCTTCTTATGGCTGGTGAAATATATGGTGAATATATTTAAGAAATTGAAAATATCATAAATCACTGCCTGGTAAAGCTTGTTTTCCAAAGGCACTTCATTTTACCTTATCTTTTCTACTGTTTTACATTCCACAGCAACAGGCTGACTTTTGTGGTTCTATTCATGGAAACAAATAGATAAACTTTCTTCTACCAATGTGTTAACAATCCTTGCTTTGTTGTAGAAATTCTTGTGGGATGTGAATATCTAACCAGTTTGTGTCACTGTCTCAGAGGGTCTCAGCACCCACCTACCTGTTTTCTGCACTGGTATGAAAAGGAAAAGTATTATCTTCCTTCCACTGGAGTATTGAACAGTGTGGAAGAACAGAGGTAGACATGTCCACATCAGCACAAGGACCAGTGACCAGGTTCAGGACTAGGAGCAGTGACGTAGTATTGTTATCTCTGTGATCTAGTCAATGGATTATGCAAGGTTGTTCATCTAACCCTGATGCAGGCTACACAAGCAGCTAAATCACTGCAGGCTTCTCTGTCTGTCATGGGAACACAGGTGCCCATACCACGGACTTTTTAACTTAGATGGGATAAAGCCGAACGTAGCCTCTAGCAAACCCGGGCAGAGCCGATGCAGTCATAGACCTGCTGTTATCTGATGACCATTCTTATATCCAAATGTGTTTCCTGCATGTCCAGGGTACTGTGATTGTAAAAATGCTTTTGAAATTAACCCCTTGTGAAATGAGGAGAGAAGAAAAAAAAATGTACTGCGGTTCTGTTTATGCCAAATGAAAGTTCTTGTCTGGAAAGCAAAGTGTAAGCAATGTGTGGTTATTGCTCTTTCAATATGCAGCAGCTAACAGATAAGAGAAATATATGTTTCAGTTTCAATATGGCCTTTTCCTAAATTCCACTGTCTGCTGAAAAGTACAGTGTCGTCACGCACGAAGGAAGGCTGATGTGAGTTTGACCCCGCCTCTAACGTGAGCAGCAGTATGTTTCAAGGTTTGTCGCAGACTGAGCCTATTGATTTAACACTCCATTGCAGATCATAAGTGAGCGAGTCATCAGTTTTTACTTGAAATCAGCTATATAAACCAACACGTCAACCTACTCTGACATCTGGTCCCGTCCATCCCCACCCCCGAAAAAAAAGCCGTAAGAAATGTTGCCTGATCACACAATTACTGATCTTCACTACTGGTGCTGAGGAGTACTGGATATGCTGTTCCGATGTGGTGCCCATGGCGACAAACAACCATTTGGAGCTCATATTCCTCTATCTTCACTGTTTCACGTGTCACCCTTTCTCCAGACAGCAGGAAAATGACGGTGTAAAGGGCGAATTCGAACTCTGGGCTGACACCAATAAAGGTGCTTCCAATTGGCTTGACTGAGCCCTTCCAGCTGAACTGGATGCTCAAAACTTGGTCATCTTTGTCAGGCTGAAAGCACAAACAAAACAACAGAATAATCTCCAACACATCTGCGACCAGACAGATACAATTTCTGACTCTGGATTTTTGAGGGCATTGCAAGATTCAGTTATCCTTGCTGGGTATAGCCGGAGGACAGCCTTCTCCCTGTCCTCTGGAACACACATGACCATTTATTTCGATTAAGGTTCAGC